AAAAGGGCAAATGGAAAAAAAAAATCCCAAAATTTCACGAGAAACAAGATGAATTTATTACGGAAAATTTAAAAATTCAAGGTAAAAATAAAAAAGAATTGGATGGGTGATCCGTAGAAAAGTACAGTAGAAACTGTGTGGCTTAAAATAATAAAGTAATGGGAAATTTGAGATGTTCCTTAATAAAGAAGGAAACATTCGGTCAACTACTCACCTAAATCTTCTGGAATTTGATGAATCTTTATTGGATTGTTGAAGATAGATGTTTCGCGGCTTTTGCCATAAATGAAGGGGATGTACACGCGGGGGGGTTTCATTGTAATTTCGAAGTTGTCGTAAATGTCCCAAACCTTTGCTCAAATTGATTTTTGGTCCGAACTTTTCAAATATGGCGCAAATGATTTCAAACATTTTCATTTTTGGTACAAACACCCTTTTGAACGGAATTGATCCAGAAGGGCCGTCATTTTTGTATGTGCAATGCAATTGCTCTTATTTTATTTTCATTTCACTGGATAATTCCGTCAAACAAGTTTCTCCGAGCAAAGAGTCAAATAAAGAAATATAATTTTTTTTTAAAAAAAAATGAAAAGATAAAATTATATTAAAAAAATTAATCATACCACAATTCGCTGGTACCGTCATGTCCGCCGCCATTACCACCAATTGACTGGTTGAATCTTCCATCAAAACTCCTTGAAACCGATGTTGTAAAACTTCGTACATGAGTCAATTACATTTAATTTCGAGCCATCTTCTCAAGCAGAGCACCGTTGCTCCTTTAATTCCCTAGCACTTTCTCATGGTGCCCGAAGCCTCCCAAAATCGTTCCTACAATTTCCCAGCCTAACTACCACACCACACATCTTTTCCACTGCCACACCACACCACGCCACACCACCTTCACTTTCAAGAATATATAAGCCCTTATTTGACAATCATTATTTGAAAAAAAAAAAAAATTCCACTTACTCATTTTCATCATCATGTTCGCATAATAAAATTTTCTACACGTAAATCTAAAAAAATATCATACTTTTTAACCGTACGTTCTCTTAAAAAAAACGCTATTCAAAACTTTATTTTTCCAAAAAAAATGTTTGTCAAGTAGAGGATAAATACAAATGAGAAGATAAAACAAAGTCTATTAAGTGGTTCTGGCAATTTTCATTTCACATATGTGAAATTGAACCCCCTTCTCATTCCCTCCATCTCTTCCCGACTTTCCTATCAAAGCAAAAACAAACAATGATTTTTCTTAAAGCAACTCAAATCATGTTCATTAACATCCATCGTCTTGTCCTCAAAAAGAGAGTACTTTCATAGGCAACGTCTTATCCTTCCTCCCAATAAGTTCAATGATTCGAATACTCCAGATTCAGAGGATCAAGCATCTCAAGGAGATACTCATAAACAGGAGCTTCTTGCCATAATTGCTTTGCTTCAAGCCCAAAGGTAAGATCAATGTATCTAATCCAGTTTGCTGAAGAAGCCAATGTTAAAATTGAAAAAATACTCTCGAAAAATACTTGAAGGGCATCGATGCTAATATCAAAGGAAATCGATGTACAAATTGTACAAAAGGTAACAGAAAATGACTTTCTGGATTTTGTTACTAGAGTTTTTGACGGTTCAATGGTGGCGATAGTGTAATGTAGTGTGACGATGGTGGAAGTGCATGGTGGGTTTAAGAATGTTTTTTTTTTTTTTAAAGGACATTTGAAGAAATTGCCCATTGAGATAAAAACAAAACAAGAACAGTTACATTGCGCGCACAAATTAATGTCACTTTTGGATTGATTCCGTCGAAAGGGGTCATTTGCACTGAAAATGAAAAGATTTGGGGACCATTTGAGCCACATTGAAAAGTTTGAACTAAAAACACAAGGTGTGGTAAAGATTTGGGATCATTTTCGCCAATTTCCCTTGCCCTTATATTTTTTTAATTTAACAATTTCATCAACACACATTGATTAAACAATTTTACCTTGCAAGTTTTATTTATTTATATATACAACCAATTTCCATTCTCCTTACGAAAGAGCACGTAGACAGTTTGAATAGAGTTTATATGTTGTAAAATTTATCTATACTTCGTTTTCCCCTAGTAAAATTGTATAAAAAGAATTAATAGAAATAAAATGAAAAAGAAGTGTAATATGTCAAACACGTGTTATTATTTTTTTAGAGTAATTCTATTTTTTAATGATAAGAAATACTGAATTACATATTTCGATAGTACCATAAATTTTCGTTTCATATTCATATATTTAATTAATCTTATCATTTCATAATAGATTACATGCCATATCAAATGAGGATATCCCCAATATTCATGAATGAGTCAAAATAAATTAAATATTGTTCATGAATTCCTTGTTTTTACGCATTAATACTATTTCATGCATTGCGAATACTTTAGATACTCTTCTTCTTCTTTTTTGTCTCTCTTTTTTTTTTTTTTTTAAATATCGAAATTAAAGCAACTTTCATTCATTCATATCGCAAGCAAGAATGTTTACAATAAATCGGGATCTTTAAATATTCTATTTTTTTAGAATAATAAATAAACAAATAAATATTTTACAAAAAAAAATAAAAACTTCTTTCTAATTTGTTTTCTCAATTTGCACAAATAGTATGAGAATCCATTAACCATTTGTTAAGCATTGAATCGATGGAAGTCACGTAAGTACCACCATGAAGGCGAAAAGGCCAATAATAACATGCCACGTGACAACTCCAAGTGCCACTCACGCTCCTCTCTTGATTGGAAAGTGGCATATTGATCATCGAGTTTCGCTCCCAAAAAATAAAAAGTCACGTCAATCCGAACTTAACCTGGATAGTTCCTATGGCCAAGCCTCACCCTTCCGGCAAACCATTGCTTCGCTGGAAGCTTGCTAGCGAAAGTCCCAATAGAGTCCGCGGGTGAGGGTCTTCAAACGAGGTGTGATGCCTTCAACAATCAATCAACAATTTGTAGGACAACCCACAGTATTTTGAGAGA